CTTTATAGACATTGTGAGACTGTCACATTGCATTATAATGTGCTAATGGCAATTCCAGCAACAACATTTTAGCAACAGGGAACAAGGAAGCAATGACAGGAAAACATGAGCAATGTAATGTAATCCAATACCAGCACACCACAACTACGACTTCTGATGGTGTGGACATCAGCAGGGTTGTTGTTATTAGGATGTAATACACTATTCTGTACAGTGCCTGTGTCAACACTCCGTACCTCAGCATTATGGAAACAGCTATAAAGAAGCTAAATATAAAATATATCAGAAGCATGCCACAACATTCCTCATAGAGGACGTCTGTCTGTGTCCTCCAGCTGATGAACTGACAACTTCCTCCTTTCCTCAGCAAGGAGGGGCTTCTAATCCTCTAAAAAGAGTGGAAAACTGTCAAAAAGTGCTGAGGCTCACTGAGCATTACACTGAAGATGAAGTTTTCCTTTGTCTTGGTTCTTTTATTAGGTATGGTTTAAATAAAATTACACTTTTCAGCTCTCCAGTGCCTGTAATGACACATTACTAAGGTATGTTTGTTTTGCAGATATCCCTCATCTAAACGGGCAGCAGAAGATCAAGGAGTTTGAACATGTCCTGCTGAGACTGGCCTTCCCTTCATTTTACAATAGTTACAACAAGTCCTGCTGTAAACTCTATCCAGGAGGATGCTACAAGCTGCTGGACAGTGCAGGGTTCACCTGTGATTTACTGAGAGGACGAGTTACGAAAACTGAGAAAGATGGCTGGATTGAATTTAAGATATCGAACGTGCGGTTCGTGGACGGAGGCTATTACAGATGTATTGTTCTGGGAACTGAAAACCGCATCTACAGTGATTACTTCGTCGAGGTGTATGGTAAGCAGTCTAAAAATCTTCATTGATGTGATGTTATAAATGTGAATCATGCAATAGCCTCTAGTGTGCACAATAATGTTTGGCCAGAAACTGCTTTATCACATCTTAATATTTACTGGCAAAATGATATTTTAGTGTAAAGTAGGGAAACAATTGCAAAGGTTTATTCTTGCCATAAACTCTGGAGGCTTATTTGCCATTCTTGCATTTTGCAGAGGTTTCAGGTCACCACACTCAGTCTCACCCATCACTGACAACAACCATCAATGCCCCCAACACCTCCACAACACTCCCAGAATCCACCGAGCCATCTCTGGCACAGGACCGCAGTGACAGTCTCAGGTTTTCACTCTGCAGATCACTCATTTTCAGTGTACAGTGTAGTCTGACTGAAGATAAGAGATGTATTTTTCTTCCTCTCCAGAGTCCCCTGGAGTTTTGGCCTGCCTCTAGCTGTCATTGTGTCTATTACAGTGATGATTCTGATCACTTCAGTTATTGGTGTTGTTTGCTGCAGAGTCAAGACGAAGCGTAAACAGCTGGGTAAGCAGTTTTCTTAAATTTATGATTGCAAAGATCTGAGAGTCTAAAAAAAACACTGTGCTTCTTTTTCTGGGAACGGGTAAACGTGATCATGTTTTTCTTTGTAGACAAATATGGAGAAACTCAGTGTGAGTCACAGAAACAAGAGGCCCCGGTGAGTGCTAAACAGGGAACATGTCGCCTCTGTGATTCATTGTCACTTGTTTTTGGAAAGCACATTGCATGTTTATGTTTCAGACTTCCTCCACAACACTGTCTCCTGACAAAATGTGTCTCCCACAGGAAATGAGCAGCATAGTCTACACAACAGTGGACTTCAGAGTTCACCAGAAATCGACAGAGTTGTACGCAAACCTGAGGATGTACAATACACAAGTGGGAGCACCTGATTCAACCTGGAGCACGGAGCATGATGGGATGGTGGAGTACTCCACACTCGCAATCCACCAGTGAAAGTTTCGATAGTTTGTGTTTAATGGGACTGATTTTATTTGTTCCACCACAGAAATCCATTCATTTAAATCATAAATGTCAGTTTACCTGTCATGGTTAGTGCTGCTCAGCCTGTGCAGTGTTTGAAAGACATTCACCAGACAGGGAGGATCCAACAAAGACATGCATTTGGCTGCATTAAAGGAAAAGTTTACCACAAAATAAAAAATACAGATTTTCACTCTTGCCTGTAATGTTATTTATCAGTCTAGATTGTTTTGGTGTGAGTTGCCGAGTATTTGAGATATTGGCCGTAGAGATGTCTGCCTTCTCTCTAATATAATGGAACTAGTTGGCACTCGGCTTGTGGTGCTCAAAGTGCCAAAAAATTACATTTGAAAAACTCAGCAGTATAGTTTCTTTACAGAAATGATGACCTCGTTACTCAAGATAATCCACAGACCTTGTTGTGAGAAGTTTCATGTAGGAACTATTTTCTTTATCCCCGTGTCAGTGTGTGTTTTCTCCAGATACTCCAGCTTCCTCCCACAGTCCAAAAAACACGCAGGTTAAGTTAACTGGTAACTCTGAATGGTTGTCTGTCTCTATGTGTTTGCTTTGCAATATTCTGGCGACCTGTCCAGGGTGTACCCCGCCTGTCACCTAATGTCAGCTGCGATAGGCTCCAGCCTTCCATGACCCATAACAGAATAAGCAGTTACACCTGCAAACCATATCCCTATGCAGAAAGAAGCACGTGTCTACCCATGGATGAGAGGCTCATGCTCATTGGGGGGCATGATAATATAATATGTAAATATTAATGGCATCCTCCTCAGCTGAGCTGTAATGTTAGCTAGCTCAGAGGTGCTAGGTGAGTTAGCACTAGATGCACGCTTCCTTCTGATACATTTGGCAGGTGTAGTTCGGTAGAAGGAAAATAGGTCTGTGGATTATCTTGAGTTACCAGGTCGTGATTTCTGGAAGGAGTCACTGCCATTGAGTTTTTTTAGTGTATTTTTTGATCCTCTGAGCACCACAAGCCGAAGTGCCATCTAGTTCCATTACATCAGAGAGAAGGCAGACATCTCTATGGCCGATATCTCCAACCCTTGGCAACTCACGCCAAAACAATCTAGCTTAATAAAAAGCACTACAGGTAAAAGGAACAATGTGTATTTTTGATTTTGGGTTAAACTGTCCCTTTGAGGGAAATGACGGATCCAGCATTTTTGGATCTTGACCCATACTAGGGACTAAAAATCACTATTCTTTTGTCTGCTGTTAGTTCCCCAATTTGTATAAAAGTGCAATAGTTAATCACTGAACAACTCTTTAATTGTATATAGTTTTGTGTTGTTTGTGAAAATGATAAATGACATCAAAATGAAACCATAGTGGATTAAAGAAATGAACATAGTCTGGTAAAATTATGACAAAACATTTGTTTTTGCTTTCATGTCATTTTCTCTTCTGACACTGTGTTCACACCTTGTGGAACTAGCAGCAGAGTTGTCAGATTATGTCATCAGGTTATCTTTTGTTATATCAGTGTTTGTACTTATCAGTTTCCTCTCGATTACAACCTGGCCCCATGGCTATTCAGAGAGCCGCTCGATATTCTATTTTTGGCTTCTTCTCCCCTTACACAAAAAAGCTGGTGGCAATCCTTTTTGTTACATCTGTAAAAGGTCAAGTTTCTGTTCAGAGCGAATGAATGAGCAGACGGAAGAGCTTCTTATTCCTGTGACATTTCAGCGCAGTGCTGTAACACAAAACTACAGATGTTTCTGTCTGACGTTTTTGCTGTACTGATGTGTAATCTTCACAGTGGCACCCTCATTATTTTTTTATATTTTATGGTGGCCAGATGATGCCACTGAAAATCTTGGGATGGCACACCAAAACCAAAAGCCATAACTGAATTTGACAATAAATGCCAGAACAAATAGATTAAAAAACAGCACGTATCCCAGGGCTGTTGTGGTAATAAACAAACACGGAAGGGTATGCCCCATTTAAAATAACCTGTGCAATATTTCACTGTGTGCAATAAACATTTTTTAGCTGAGGACAACTGTAATTTTAAACCGTGCAATATGTAACTGTAACCGGCTGCTAAATGCACATTTCTTATACATAACAGAGATTTCTGTTTCTTTTTTTTTTTTAATTTTATACAAGCACTCCCGTTTCTGCACACGTGTATATATTCATTTATCATTGGTCTGTTTTCATTCTATTCATTAGTAATTCCCTTTTAACCTTGTACAAAGGTTTTGCACCAAACAGGAATGCATACAATTTTGTTGTACTTGTACAATGACAATAAAGATTCTGATTCTGATTTAAATAACTAGCACACTGCACTTTGCTCTGTTTTATGTACTTACATTTTACACTTTATAGGCTACTTATCCACAGTTTTTTGTAATGTGTGTGTGTGTGTGTGTGTGTGTGTGTGTGTGTGTGTGTGCGTGCATGCATGCGTGAAAGAATACAGTTTTCCTTAAGGAGAGACAACAAATTTCATTGTATGCGTCATGCAATGACAATAACAGCATTCTAATTCTAATTCTAATATGCAAAAGGCCCCATCACCTTTTCAGTATTATAGCAAGACAAACAGGCTTTGTGGTTTTGCCTCTTTTTGTTTTAGTTTTGCATCTTTTTGTGGTTTTGTGTCTCTTTGTAGTTATTTTGTGTCTCTTTGCTGTTCCTTTGCATCTTTTTGTGGTCATTTTGAGCTCCTTCCTGGTTGGTATAGAGTGACATTTTGCAAATGAAGGCCAGGGAGGCCCCCTGACAATCTGGGACCCTGGGCCTGTGTCTAGTAGCCATGTTCAGTAATCCATCCTTGTAGGAATGGATGCTTTACATTGTCTAGTTTCACAAGATACCACTACCTTTGTCTGGCTTAAAAAATGAGCATGCCACAGCCTCTTTAAAACAGTAATGTCGACCTCCAGTTATTTTCACCGAGGGGCTGGGGGGTGCTGCTGGATCATTGTCTCAGTCACGACAGTCAGACACAAAATTGCTTTGGTTGCTATAATCTATTTAATGCAAAGGCCGCTACAAAATGTTCACATGTATTTCAGTCTCCATTTGCACATTTGTTTTGCTTTTCATCAGACAAGCCCCCACATGGAAACACACATGTATAGTTTATCCATCAGGAGTCTCATCTGACTACACAGATTGGGCCAGACCGATGTACCTGGCCTGGGCGTCAAAGATGACATAGTACTCCCTGATGAAGACATCTCCCAGGATCCAGAGCTGGTCTGAGCCACCCTGGCCAAAGCCAGTGTTGCAACCATAGTAGTTCTGCGGAGAGACAAGAGAAAATACATTTACTCTCCCCTAATGTTCATTACAGTGTTGAAAAGTGTTCTGTTGTAGTGGGTGGCAGTGGTTTCACTGACCTGAGAGACGTAGGCAGATGCAGGGATGGTGAAGTCGTGTCCATTGAGAGTGAAGGTGACCTCAGGCATGCTCCCGACGTTCTGGCAGTTCACCGTAGACTGTGAGAAGAGTATTACACACAGAATTGAAGACCACGTAGCAGCAGAAGTTGTATTTATTAGTATTTTACAGGTTTCCAGCGAAATCAAGTCACTAAGTCCTGCTTAATTATTTTTATTTGAGAGGTTTGACGTCAGAGCACGAACTGTCTGTTTACTCTGGGTTCAGAAAGTGGTACAGTGTGATTGTATGACTCACCTCTCCGTACTGGTTGGTTGAGGCTCCAACCCAGGAATTCATGTTGTTGATGTCATTGGTCGGTCCAACGATCAGGGAGGTACCGGTGTCAATGATGGCCTGGCAGCCACCAGCACAAGCCACAGTCTGTCCATTGATTTTAACACTGTAAGAAAGATTACAGTAAGGCGAGGAAGCTTTGTGCAGTGTGTTTGTGGTTAGTATTTAGTTTGTGTTTTCCTTTTACCCGTCCATTTTGATCTGCCAGTAGGTGGCAGAGGTCAGAGGGACCCAGGTTACTTGTCCAGTGTAGTGGCTGTTGTCAATACCACCAAAGACGACCTCACTGCCCTGCTCGCCGTGGCTAAGAGACAGAAAAAAACAAATTCCCATGAATTAAATGGGAAATGACACATTCCCAACCCACATATTTCCATCCTGCCTCAGTACCTGCTCAGGTAGACAGAGAACAGGGGCTGAGACACCAGTCCTTGCTTGACCATGTTGTCAAAGACAGGCACAACATTGTCAGCAGCAATGGTCTGGAAGGCCAATCCCAGGATGCCATCAGCAGTCATGTGAGCCATGAAGGGAGCCTCTGTGCGGCTAATGCCAAACACCTGGTTTTGCACGGTGATGCCGCCCACCTGGACACACACAAGACAGCTGTCAGTCACAGTTCAACAGACCACGGAGATATGCCTGTTTGAAGTGTAAATATGCATTTTGTTCCAGGGGCTTTGGTTACCTCAACATTGTCAATGGCCAGATACCCAGTCATGCTGCCAGTGCCGTACTGGATGGACAGAGGCTGGTCGCCCCATTTGAAGGTGGAGGACTGCTGAGGGTTGAATTTCCTGTGGTTCTCTGCAGAGGTGCAAATGTGTATAATAGGAATAATAATCATATAAACAGCACAGAGTACCGTACTTCTGCCTATACTTGGTATTAGATGTTCAACAATTAGATCTTCTGCTAGTAAAATATAATATAATATAATATATTAATATATAATATATTAAACTAAAAAAATATGCACTACAAGTTAAATTCCTGAAATCAAAGTTTTACCTACGTAGAAGCACAGATATACATGAAATTAAAAGTACTTAAGTTCAAAGATAAAGTGTTTCAGAAGGGCTTCTGTCAGTGTAATGTAATTATACTGCTGGCATATTATTTCTGATACATTACTGTGTATGCAGCAGCTGCTAAAAATGAAACTGCTACTGCTTTCATTAACACATGGTTAGGTAATCTTTAACAATCTATGCATTAATTTTGAATTATATTTCATAAAATAATTTCATGTTTAGGATTTAAAACAGTATTCTGCAAAGTAACAGTAGCTGTCAAATAAAAGTAGTGGCGTTAAATGATGAACAATGGTGATGCTCAATTAAAGTACTTGTGTAAATATAGTTAGTTACATTCCACCACTGTGTAAAACACTATCCAAATATTTGAAGCATATCAAGCAACTTTTAACAGCCTGAGTTGCAGTGGTAGTCACGGTCATAGCCATAGATTTCAGAGGGAATGCAGGACACACCTCCTCCCTTAATATTTGTTTTTATTAGGCCACCAAGTGTTTGACGATCAAAACTTCCCTGGGGGAGGACCCCAAACCCCTTGTTTCATATGTGTCCACCCCAATACTGAAACGAAACCTTCGCCCTTGATCTAAGCAGCACTTACGGCAGGCCTGGCTATTGCAGTAGTCTGAAGGGACCCACAGGTTGGAGGAGCCTGTGTCAAAGATGACACTGAAGGACTGAGGTGGGGTGCCGATGGAGATCACACCATAGTAGGACAACTAGAGGGACAGAAGATGACAAGTTGACAGATGCAGATTAACATGGGCTTGACTCAAATGTAGTATAAAATATTTTTCTCTCAACTTAACATAAGATAGAGACCCAGCTACTGGTCTGGACTTACGTCAGCATCGTTGGTCATGGACTCAGTGCCACTCTGCTGGAACTTGACCATGGGGTTGTATGGGTACTTCTTTCTGTACTCCTCCCATAGTCCTTTCTCCTGCAGGTCCTGCCTGGCAGTCTTTCCCTTGATCAGGGGAATCCTGCACATAGAAAAGGTGGATAGAGAATCAGTAAAATGCTCACCATTTAATAAGCTGGAGAAATCAGAGAGCAAGTTCTACTTTGAGCTTTGTGCAAGTTTGAAAGGTGCGATAGCTCAAAACAAGATGGCCTTTAGATTTTCCCTCAGGAATAGTAGATGGAGAGATTGCCTTTCAGCCTATTGAAGCGGAAAATGTCAAAGAAATAAAGGAACAGGTTGCTTTTCAACCAGCCTGATCAAACTTACTTATGGAAGCATTCGGAGAAAGCCACGAGGGCTGAGAGAACCACAAGCCACTTCATCGCGTCCCTTTGCTGCTGGACTCAGACAAGTGAAGTTCTCTTGGCAGAGTCCAGCCCTTAAATACAACAAATCAAGGTTGTGCCTCCAAAATGCCCTTCCGCATTAGTTGATATCATGTATCAGCTGGAGATAAGAAATATGTGATACAGTGCCTCTTATTTGGGAGCAAATATCCCATTAAACAAATGGACACTGAAAACTTGTGCTGGAATTCATGGAATATTTTGAAGCAACTATTTACTGTAAATTCATATATGTTTCATAAAATGCAGCTGATGTTTTGTATTTATGTTGTTTGTATATTGTCAAAATGATCACACTTAATAGAAATTATGCTAAGTGTACAAGAGCAACTATTACCAACAGTGACAACACCACTGGTTTTGTTTTCTCCTTGAGTCTGTGTGTGTGTGTGTGTGTGTGTGTGTGTGTGTGTGTGTGTCTGTCATCACGGCAAAATGTGGCCCTGGTGACATTTATTGTAACGGAAACTACTACTGAAGCCAATTTCAGTATTTTGTCACGTGTTTATATGTCCGTCTGTCTGTGAACAGATTTTGTCAATGTGATGACATCACACCCACGCAAGATGCAGTCACGAAACCTTACATTTTTTGGATCAAAATGAAGGCCAAGTTGGAAGATTGGTGTGGTCCGAGCGAAGGTGCCAGAAGTAGGAGTGTAGGAAGTAGGAAGTCACAGATTGCTGTATTGAGGCTGGAGTGACCTCATCACAAGATGAGTCTCTGTTGAAAGCTTCGTGTTTTATTGTTTCCACTGTGAGGTGGCATGGTAGTGCAGTGGTTAGCATTGTTGCCACACAGCAAGAGGATTCCTGGTTCAAACCCTGTGGCTCCCCAAGGTGGGCAGTTCGAATCCTGTGCTGGGGGAGCCCCTCTGTCCAGAGTTTGCATGTTCTCCCTGTGTCAGGGTTGGTTTTCTACAGGTACTCCGGCTTCCTCCCACAGTCCAAAGACATGCAGGTTAATTGGTACCTGTAAGTATGAATGTGAGTGTGAATGGTTGTCTGTCTCTATGTGTCAGCCCTGTGATAGTCTGGCGACCTGTCCAGAGTGTACCAATGTCAACTGGGATAGGCTCCAGACCCCCGCAACCCCTAACAGGATAAGTGATTATGGAAACTGAATGAATGAATGTTTCTGCTGTTGTAGAAAGTAATGTAACTGTTCTATTTTTTATCTCAGGTATTGTTTAACTCAAGAAGTCCTGAAAACAGTTCAGCAAGAATAATTATGTAAAGGAAACATGTCAGAGGGTTCATCGACTTTTATTATCCAACAGATCGAGGTAAGGTCCTTAACAAATAACTTAATGTGTTGACATGTAGATCAGGAGATTTGATGTCTGGAGTTCCTGTTTAACGTTGATACGGAAATGTTCCATGGTTTTCCAAAGGTGTGAGCTGAGGTTACTTAATGGGCAGGGTTATCTGATAATGGTAGGACACAAAACAAAGGCACGGTGACATGGTGTGACGTATGAACAAAGAACAACAAAACAGTGTTAACACAGCACATATATTGTACTTTGCCTCTGATTAGAAAGTTAATTGCACATTATATTGACATAGTTGATATTACATTTATTTCCATTTGTTATTGGTGCATTTCTTTTGGTTAATTGTTAACAAGGACCAAAATAACTGATTACTACTACTACTACTACTAAGTAATCTAATTTTTAAATCAAAGACATATTAGACAGATTAAAAATCCATTGTGCATAACTGCTTCTATAACCTTGGGTTGCATCTGATTTCAGAAAATATGTTTTGCACTGAGTTTATTCCATGGCTTTAAGTAACCTTTAACAAAGCACAGTAGTATTAAGATTCTTTATTTAAGTAAAAGTAGCAGTACTACACTGTAAAAATAAACAATTATAGCCTAAGTAAAAGTCCTGCACTAAAAATGTGACTTGAGTGATAGTAGATATGTATAAGCAATATAATATAAATAAAAGCAAAAAAATACTTATGCAGAAAATCATCATTATTAGTTGCGCATTAATGTGTAAGCAGTTTTTATGTTGCAGCTGATTTAGCCATCTTTGTAAGGAGGATTAATCTACAGCAAAGTGTTGTATTTTATCAGCTTGTCATAGGTTTTCTGTGTAATAACCTAATCTGCAAAGTAACTACAGCTGTTAATATACTGAGGTCAAAAACACAGTATTTTCCCTCTGCAGTATAAGGAAATATGCAAGTAAAAGCACCTAATTGCATTAAGTAAATATACTCAGTTACATTACACCACTGTCGGTAAAGTGTAATGAATCCCACAGCTCACAATATCTCTGGTGATTTATTGTTTTGTAATTAAATCCATTGAATTCATTTGACCCTTTTTGTTGTCTTTTATAAAATATTTTAGCGTAATAATACCTCAACTATTAATATTAGTGATACTATTCTTATCATTATACATAATTTATATACATATATAAAACAGAGGGTGAAGAATTCAATGTCTTACACAAAGATACTAAAGCAGGACAAGAGGCAGTCTGTCTCTCATGACAGCTGCTTTGTTTCTACTTTATATAAAAAAGACCATATGTTAGAAATGACATCATCTGAAATGACAGAAAATGTATTTTAAGAGCATGTTAAGCTCCTAATGTGAATGAAAAACTGTCAAAAATATCTATTTAGAAACAAACAAAGCCTAAATCTTCAGTTGGAAATGTTCTGGTTTTAATTCACATCTGCAGAAGTCAAATGTTTGGACATCAGTGTAGTTACATATGAAGGTCATCATTACTTTGCCCATGTAGGTAAAGAACTTTATGAACATGACCTTCATCATAATCAGACCATGATTAAAACCACTTGACATCCCATAACACACATTATGTTGAATCAAGCAACATAAACTGAACACAAGGGGGGAAACCCTCCATGGAGCACATGCTCAACATCAGTGTTGTTATTATACTTTTATTGACAATAATATTAATACATTTCTATTGATAAATTAACATAAAGTGAGCATGAAAACAAAACAGCAAATGTTTAAACTGTTCACAAATATCTTCTTTGTTTTTATTGAGTAAAAAGTGTCTGATATCTGCTGTGGCTCTTTAAAGGTTACACTCTCTTGACATTTCTGTCCTTGACGTGTGATTGATTGAATCCAGACTACGAATTATAGTGCATAGAGTACACAAATAAAGAATACAGCCAGTGAAGATTAAATATGTTTCTGATCCACAGCCTGGTCAAGTCTTCACTCTAAGTGCTGTTTCTGATCTTCTTCATCTGAATGTTTGGGCGTCATTTAAAAGTCCAGGTCTTTGAAGTTTTCAGTACATCTATACTTGCTTTCACCGTACCTGGTGCATACCAAGTCGGGGAGACAGGGGCAGGTGTGATGTTGCCTTTTCCCTTGATATGGCACCTGTAAGTGGGAGAGAGGAGTGGAGAGGGATAATCTGACAGTTTAAATCCTTCATCAGCTGACAAGTGCAGGTCTTAAAAAAAGTCTGAATTCACTGGTGGATGTGATGTTAGCAGAACTAATTGTTGCCATCTCCAGATGATCACTGTGATGTATGGCTCTGATTGGCCGGTTCGCTCTGGAGAAGATCGATAGCGTCTGCAGTTATCAGCAGCTTTTCTAAAGCTTCAGCCAAACCTGCCAACAGCTTGATATAATCTGAATTTCCACTTGCGCAGAAAACAAGTGTGTGCAAGAGAATCTGTGTGTGTGTGTGTGTGTGTGTGTGTGTGTGTGTGTGTGTGTGTGTGCGTGTGCGTGTGTGTGAGTGATGCAGGAAGATTAGTGACCTCACATTTCTCCCTACCTTATGGCTAAAGGGGTGGCATTCATCCCCTTCCACACCTCTTGGGACGCACATCCTCAGGCCCCGCAGCCATAGACTGACAGCACAGCAAAGACCAAACCCACACTGCATGTCTCTCTCACAGGCCTGCAGGACAGACAGGGACAGAGAGAGAGACAGACAGAAAAGAATAAAAGAGGCAGACGAGGAGAGTCCTTTTGATGCCAGTTTGGTCATGCTAATAGAAATACCCTTTAATGTTTGAATCTATTTCTATTTTTACTAATCCTCACAGAGATGCCCTCTCATGCTCATACAGTGAAAGCCATTTTATCCATTGCCTGTCATCTCCCTAATCCATTTACAAATGAATATCAATTGGAGGACTGAGATAATTTCCTCTTGTTATTCCAGTGGACTTGAAGCGGAGGAGGATGTGGTCTCCTGTCAGTCATGTGTAATCAAATTTTACAAAATTATCCAGAAAAGTGAACTGTGCTGCTTACAGTTATAGAGTTTTTTGCATATTTATAGGTTAAATGTGACAAAACCAAACCAGAAATCTATGTGTTAGAGTGCAATTACAGCACGCCTGCCAATGCAGAATTAATGCTGAAACAATTTGATTTGTTGATTATACCATCAAAAGAAAATAAATTGCCAATTTTGGTTTTAAGTTAACTGTTTAGGTAGTTAACTAAGCAGAAATGCCAAACATTTGCTGGCTCCTGCCTCTCAGATGTGAGGATTTGCTTCTTTTCTCTTTTTTGCATTGTTGCAAATGTAATATTTTTGGGTTGTTGACTGTTGATCAGCCAAAAACAAGCAACTTGAAGAAGTTACCTCAAGCTCAGGAAACTGTGATGGCCATTTGTCACTACTGTGCAAGTTACGCACCAAATGATTGATTGAGTAATCAAGAAAATAACTGACAGATTGAGCAGTAGTGAAAATAATTGTTAGTTGCAGCCCTAGTAAGTAAGTAAAACCACAGTTTCTCAAATCACTTTTAAAAAGAATGAAGGCAGTAACAAAAAGAGATAATAAAAATGTAAAATGCTGTCTGTAGTTAGACATTACTCGGAAGAGTAAATTGGGTAATTAAGAGTAATTAGACGCTCCGCTAAAAACAACATGAATCTACTAAACTGATGTAACACCAGAACAGTGTGCAGCAGAAACCTCTCACTCACCCCTGTGATGACGGC